GACCACGAGACATTGCGATGGTTAAAGACACAGGCCAAGATGACACCTAAGCTTACTAGGTGCGCCGCAAAAATAGATCAATATGACTTTGAGCTCAAGCCGGTCAAAGGGAAGTATAACGTAGTTGCGGACGCTCTGAGTAGGAGAGCTGATTAMTTTGGGGCCATAGTCCATTATCTAGATATAGGATCAGACCTACAACAGAAGGTTAAGGAGGCGTACGCGCAGGACCCCATCTATAGTGAGCTCCTTAAGAGAGTTAAGGAAGCCCCAGAGTCCGAGCCATATTACCTACTGATGGGTTGTTGTTTGAGAAAACTAACGTAGTAGACCGTTTGTGCGTCTCCAACAGTGAAGAGATCCGAAGTCTGATCTTGGGGGAATGCCACGACACCGAAGGACACTTTGGTTGGCAGAAGACTTTAGCCAACTTGATGCACGCGTACACCTGGCCAGGAATGAGAAATGACTGCATAGAGTATGTTCGCAGTTGCAAAGTCTGCCAGAGGAATAAGTCCACTACGCGTGCCCCCTTAGGTCTCCTCAGACCTTTACCTATCCCTGATCAGCTGGGAGATTCAGTGTCCATTGACGTCATGGACACCGACGTTAAGAGTAGACATGGCAAGAGCCAAGTTATGGTCGTGGTAGACATATTTAGTAAATATGCCATCTTTGTTCCCTTGCCGTCAGAAGCTAGAACAAAATTAGTAATTCAGAATTCTTTGACCACTGGGTCAGTGAACACGGGGTTCCGCTGTCTATAGTTAGCGATAGAGATACCCGGTTCACAAGTCTGAACTGGCAGGAGTTGATGAGAGTCTATGGATCCAAGTTGTTGATGTCATCTGGCCGTCATCCAGAGACGAACGATCAGACAGAACAAATGAACAAGATCCTGCAGCAAGTCATGCGCATGTACATTAGACCGGATCACGTCAATTGGGATGAGATGCTTCCCAAGGTAGCCAGCGCATACAACAACAACCTGCACCTGTCAACCTGCCGCACTCCCAATGAGCTCCATAAGTCCTTTAGACCACGCAGACCATTTGAGGGACTTAACCGGGATCAGATTCACAGGCTACCGCCAGGTACCAGGGAGTTTGCAATTCAACACGAGAAGGAGATAGCAACTGTTGTTGAGAATCTCAGGAAGGCCCAGCACCGCATGATCGAACAGGCGAACAAGCATCGTCGCCGTTCACAGTTCCAAGTAGGCGACTTGGTCTGGGTCCAGTCTAAAGAGTTTGCGCCTGAAGAGAACATTTCGCAGAAGTTACTGCCTAAATATAGAGGGCCGTGGCCGGTTCTGGAAGTCAAAGACGGCGAAGATGGACCATCCTATACCATAGAACTCCCAGCACACCTCCACACTTACCCAGTTTTCCATGCATCGAAGTTGTTACCTTGTCAAACAAGTGATCAGTTTCCATCCCGTAGATCTATGATTCCACCAGACATGGATGGAAGGTATGACATCAATGGCATAGTAGCTGAAGATGTATTCAGGACTGGAGGTGGAGGTCGTCCACAGAAACAGTACAAGGTTCATTTTAGTTATCAAGAGCCGGAAGACGACCGCTGGTTTACAAGTCTGAACTTCTAGAGAGAACTCCCCATATAGTCCGGGCCTACGAGAGGCAACAGAAGGGTAAAGGTCCTGCCTTGGACTGAAATTTTCTCGGACGACCTCTAATTTAGGCCGGCGGGAGTGAAACGGTATTCACCACTTCGCAGTAGCTGATGCAGATTCCAGGGCTCGATCCCTAGTTCCCCGCCTTACCTGTGTACAGTAACTGTGTCAACCCGTAGATTTGAACCTGCGACCTGTAGGACYGCCAGTGGTAGGTAAGACCTCGTAGGTTATRGGGTAGAAGGGAGTCGAACTGTAGACCTGTCGGGTAGGAGTCTAGGCAGTCTAGAAGTCTTAGCTGTAGACTGTCCGAAGSGTCAAAGTCGTAGCTGCTACTTACCTGAAAGGGCAGAGTCGTAGCTGCTACAGTCCCGAAAGGCCAAAGTAGAGGTTTCTAGAAGTGGCCTTTCGGAGCCAGCCCCTGTTTCGRTAGAGGCAAGTGGTCAASTGGWGTAGGTCCACCACGCTGAGTCAACAGTCCCAGTTCAGTCAGTCCSGTCCTGTCCAGCAAGTACCGTCTGGGACTGTGTGCACCAGKGGGCCAGGGCTACAGGGCAGACCAACGCATCCCAGAAGTATAAATCAAGAGGTCGCGCCCAGCCATTCATTCATTCCTGCGGAAGCTATGCGGAAGCGTTGCCTCAGCTGCTTGTGCGAGGAGGTGTGCAGTGTGCCCGAAGTCGAAGTGGGCAGAGAAGTGTAGTATAGCTATAGGCTAGTGGCAGCCAGCACTGCCATAGCTATAGTAGCGTGTGTGTGTGTGCGTGATGTGAGTGTGCAGAGTGTTGAGTGTGGGATATCCAGGGTGATCCAGCGTGTGAACAGTGGATGTTGGGCGCTCAGTCGCCATAGCCAGTGGAAGTGAACTTACCTGGAAGCCATATCTCTGTGTACCGTGTGGGCGCATGTCGCCAGTTTGTTATGCTGCTGTTCACATGCATGAAAAGTGTGAAAGAGTCGAGTCTGATTGCACTTCTGGGAAACGTGGCCTCATGGCCAAAGCACAGGGAAGCGCAAAGAAGTGGTGGTTTGGGGGAGGGGGGAGAGCCTAAAAAACCAAGTGGGGAACTTTCCCCCCAGCTGACAGCGTCTGTTACGGACTCATCCAGGGCTCGATCCCTGGTCCGCGGGGTACCACCCGCCAGCCTGCATTTTTTTTTTTTTTTTGATTTCCTGCTCTCCGGTATCTGTGAAACGGTTTTCACCTCTTAGCAGTAGCAGACGCAGATCCCAAGGTTCGATCCCTAGACCTTGCCCTACCTGTGTACAGTACCTGTGTAGACCCCGAGAGTTGAACCTGCGACCTGTGTGTTTGTAACAGTTAGTAGTCTGTCGTAGGGTCCCAAAAGAAGCAGGGGTTCGATCTGTAGATCTATAGAGTAGGAGTCTTAGCGAGTTCCAGAAGCCTAGCTGTAGTCCTTCTAGAAGGTCAGCAAGTGGGCAAGTGGTGAGTCAAGTGGTGGATTAAACTGCAGTGCAATCGCAGTACGACTACGGGAGGTTAGCACTGAGTCCACAGTCAGTCAGCGGTAAGGTCCAGTCAGTCCCAGTCCGGTCCAGCAAGTACCACGAGGGACTGTGAGCACCATGGGCCGATGGAAAGGGGCAGGCCACCGAGTTTCAGAAGTATAAATCAAGAGGCAGCGCCCAGCCATTCATTTCATTCCTGCGTGAGCCATGCGGAAGCGCTGCCACAGCGACTTGTGCAAGGAGGTCTGCAGAGAGCCCGGAGCTGAAGTGGGCAAGAGAGAAGGAGCGTAGCATAGCGATAGGGT